AGAGTATTTTGCTTTCTTATAGTAAAAACTAGCAATGACAGTATTCTGACACAACACTTCCGTAAGCCATGAGGGTTTTTACGTGCAAAAATAATCACTCATTAGTTATACAGCAGGAGGGAGAACGGACAATTGAGGCGCCTTTAATTGTCAGTTGTATATTTAAGGTTTATCGGTTAGACCTTCGCGCATGTTCCTCTTATTATATGGAATACTAATATTCCAAGTCGCGGATTTTTACTTTGGTACACAATTATTACTCTTTATATCTTGTTCGATAAATTTTGTCACCTTACACTCTTAATCTACCTCCCTAAGTTGGTTGTAAATATTGCATCGGCAAAATGACACTCACTGAATCCGCTAAAAAATTGTTATTTAGGGTTTTTGGAGTCGCTGATCACGAATGTGATGCCGGTTTTCGGAAATACAAAATAGCGAATTGGTGAAGCTGGTTTTCACAAATATACAAAATCGCGGATTCTTCGATAAAAAAATGTAACTTGATGGTTTTTGCGGTCGCTTTTTATAAAAGTAATGTTGAAAAAAGAATTTTAATTTTTCTTATGGGCAATTCCACGTGAGATTTCAGTCGACCTCTTCAAATCGGCCAAAAATATTTTTTTTCTATTCTGTGTTAAAAAAACATACGTATTTTTTTATTATTTTTTTGGAGGCCAAATTTTTGAGTTATGAATTTTTAAAATTTTTGTTTTTTAAATGAAGATATATTTTTAATGTCAGATAACTCAAAAAATATTGCTTCTTTTTATTTTTTGACAAGAAAAAAAAAGTTTTGTTTTTCTCTCTACTTTTGAATATTTATAACAAAATTTTTTTTTCATTTTTTATTAAAAAAAATAAAACATTTCCCTCACAGCACCGGGATATTCAGGATATCCCAGAGACGTCCTGGGGATATCGATTTGTTTTCGGAAGTTTGGATATCTCTGGGATATCCTAGGGACGTCCATGGATATCCAGAGGATAATCCAGGGATATCCAAACTTCCGAAAACAAATCGATATCCCCAGGACGTCTCTGGGATATCCTGAATATCCCGGTGCTGTGAGGGTTCTATAACCCTCAGAAAACACACCTCTTTTTTAGACTATTTTTTAAAGCTCAAACAAATTTAAACTGCTCATCTAATCAAGCTAAAGAATTTTTTAAATTATAGTTTAAACTCTGTAGAATAAGTCTGTATACTTGAAAGTCCTTATTAAAAATATTTACAAAAAGGCTTTTCGTAAAAAAGCGTGGGGTCAAAAAGACCCCATGTGTTCTCCGAAGGATAAACAATTTAATTTTTTTTAACTTTGAGTATGATAAATTTTTAATTTTCTTTTTTCAAAACATACCTGGAAATGATAAGAAGGTTTTCCAAAAAGTTTCAGAGTGGGCCTGACAAGTTTGATGGGTTTAAAAAAATAATTAATGTTCATGCAGGTCGCACGCACGCGGCAAAATGGTATTTTTTTACAATTTACTATTAAAAATTGTTTAGAGCCTACAAATTCAATAATAATCAAAATCTGATAAAATTTGTAGGCTCTAGACAATTTTTAATAGTAAATTGTAAAAAAATCCCATTATGCCGCGTGCGAGCGACCTGCACGGGCAGCTTAATTATTTTTTTAAACCCATCAAACTTGTCAGGCCCACTCTGAAACTTTTTGCAAAACCTTCTTATCATTTCCAAGCATGTTTTAAAAAAAGAAAATTAAAAATTTATCATTTCCAAAGTTTAAAAAAATTAATTTGTTTATAAATTTTTTTATTTTTTTAATAAAAAATGAAAAAAAAATTTGTTATGATTATTCGAAAGTAGAGAGGAAAACAAAACTTTTTTTCTATTGTCAAAAAATGAAAAGAAGCAATATTTTTTGAGTTATCTGACATTAAAAATATACCTACATTTAAGAAACGAAAATTTTGCAAATTAATAGCTCAAAAATTTAACCTCAAAAAAAATTAAAAAATACGTATCTGTTTTTTTTCAATACAGAATAGAAAAAAAATATTTTTGGCCGATTTTAAGAGGTCGACTGAAATCTCACGTGGAATTGCCCTTATGTAAACTTGAAACTGGGTGTCGAATCTAATTTTTATTGCAAATTTTTAATACTTTTTACCGCATAGTTAAATGTTTCAATGTTTTGCTTGCTTATAAGGAAGTATTTCCTATGTCTTATTATGTTTTAATGCCCTTAAATGTTGTTTTTTAAATTTTAGATATTGACTTCTTAAGGGGTTACCCCCACTTGCAACTTTGAAAAAATCGATTTTTCTTTTATTGCATTTTTTTGAAGCATAAGTAACTGAAAGTATGTCCTGAAAATTTCAAGTCAATTCCAACAAAATTGACTGAGATATGAGCTTTGAAAGAGACGAAAGAGACTGATATATACTGATTTGTATATACATATATGCATCGATAAAATGAATATCTTTTTTTTAATTACCACCATGACTTTTCAGCCTACTTCTGGAAACCAAACTATTACGTACTCCCACTTACCGGAGTTAATTCTATGTAACTTTACAAAAAAATTATTTTCTTCGTGGAAACTGAAATTGAAACTTTAAACGCGTTTTTCTCGAAATGGCATTTCTGAAGTCGGTGACCAAGATTACTCAAACACTAATGAACCGATCTTCTTGAAATTTTGCAGGCTTATTTAATACATAAAAATGTAGTCTTTAATCGTTCGATTTTCTTTTTCGAAAAAAATGTCCGTTTTATAGCCAAAAAACGGACGTTTTTTTTCGTTAAAATCAAACTTTTAACTTAGACTGTCAGCCATTTTGTGAAAAATAAATATTTTTTTAAATCCTTCGATTAAAGACTAGTTTATACTCATATTTGACTAAATTTATCCACATTTTTTGATTCCGATGATTCACTTCGCCGCAATGTTGGTCACCGCAGACCGTATAAATAAAAATATTATTTCGTTGACGGCAGTTTGACACTTAACTATGTAATATTTTTTAACAAAAAAATTACTAAAAGTTCTTCAATATGTGTTCTTTAAGATGATATAGTTATAGATTAAAAAGGTTTTGTAGTTTTCTTTAAAAAAATTCATAAAAAAGGCTTATTTTTTTGCGCTACAAGTGGGGGTAACCCCTTAAGGTACGTGTAATAATATTTTTTAAGTAATGTTACAATCTTAATTTTATTTCATCTTTCAATGTTTTCAATTTATGGGTGATTCTCCGCGTAGTGCACAATTCAATGTCCCCTCGTATTTTTTAAGAAATTAGTTAAACATATTGCAATGAATTCAAGGAGAAAAACTAATTTCTGTGTTTACAAACAAAAGCCAATAGTAGTTTACATTTAAAAATTTATAATTTAGCTTTAAAAGCTGTTTTAAGGTAATAAAACGTCATGGTATGGCCTGTCCCCAGTACAATGTATGTAAAAAAAATTTTATTTTTAATAAAATACAGTAATTAACCTAAAAACTATTCATAGTTTCGTATTGTATATGTTCGTAGAATTGTGAAAAACAAAAAACTTGCGAAAAAAATTTATTTAAAAAAATTTTTTTGATGTTAATTTTTGTCCCTTGTTTTCGCGTCATGGTCTGGCCTTTTTATAAAATTGTATTATTTACATAAAAATCAAATTGAAACTTTACTTAATATTAGTAAAACGCAACAACAAACTCTCCTAAGTAAATTAATAAGAGAGAAACTAATTTGAGAATTAATTGTTCTGTTTTTTAGACATTAAAAGCACTTAACTTGCATAGGGAATCATAGAATCGTCATGGTCTGGCCTTCACATGCTTCCCAATAAAATTAATAATTATTTATATTTTACGACAATTAAAGTGTAGTAATAAATTTCTTTGTTTAGTACCCATTATTTTAATTAATTATAAAATTTGATTTGACATATGTAAACAATTTATTTGATAAATGACAAGAATTTGTTACTTTATTAACTAAGGCAAAAATTGCTTTTTTTAAAAGAAACAATTGCTTTTCGTGTATTGCTTTTGTACTTAGACAAAAATTACCTTAGTAAAAAGCACATTCTGCCTTTAATTTTTTTCAGTGTAGCAAAAAGTAGAATTTTTTATGCTCCACGACTGCTTTAAGACCTCGTACGCTTTAATTTAAAAAAAAACCACCATGCAAATAAAAGTAGAGGTTGATAGCTTTAATTTAAGTCGTATTTTGATTTTTTTCGTTGTCATTAAAAATGGACAGGTAGGAGGTAAAATTTGCCAAAGAATGTCCCTCCTACATTTTACTCTATTTTATATTCGTTGTGGTTTTCTTCACTGTTAAAAATCGGACTCCAACTTCACATCGAAAGATTAAAAATTATATACTTTCAATCTCAAATAGTGTGAATATTTTCATTTGATTGGATTCACTGAAAACTTTAAATCAATGAAATTCAAGCATTCACACTTTGCGAGATTAAAATAACATTATTTCAATCTTTTTGGTATAAAGTTGGAGTCAGATTTTTAACAGTATATGGTAAATGGATACGATCTTAAAAATAATGCACCTAATAATTACTAAAACTTAGCAGCTGTTTTTTGTAATGGATTATGTATAATAGTACATAACTTCAAAAGTTCTATGCGATAAGACGTACTTTTGTATTTTTATTCTATAATTATGTATAGATAAAAAAAGTCTTAAAAGCCTTGGAACAATGATATGCGAAGACATGTCATAAATTTGAAAATTGTAATATTCAATTAAAAACTTTTCTTTGAATAAAGAAAATATTTATTATAAAACTGCAATGATAATAAAAAAATTAAATAAAATTATAAACTGTTTACTTAACAAAGTTAGTTTTAATTACTTTTATCCAGTTTTGTATTATTAGAACTTTAAGAATTTATATTAATTGCGTTACGCAAACAATAAATTAAACATACTTGTGAAATAAATTAAATTGAATTTTGTTTTTAATAACTAGCTAATTAGTAAAAATTTATAATTATGTTCTAATAACTTACTGTTTTGGGCTATTCCTATAGAAATTAAACAACAGAATAACAAAGTACTTTTGGAAGACATTTTTTTAAAAATATTTTGTAAGATAATATGTAATATAATATTTTCTTATGTTCAATAAGATTTTTGTAAAAAAATTGTTGAAATTTAAACACGATAGAAAATGCAAAAACGTAAAAGGCTTTTTAACAATACTCTATTTACAGATACGAAAAGTATTCTTGTGACTGTCGATTTCAATTTTAAGGAAACTACTAAATAGTCTACGATAGCTAATTACCTTTATCCCCACTTCTTCCATTCGGCTCAGCGTTAAATTTATCTATATTTACATTTCTATTTTTCTTGCTGTTTAACATGTTATTATATTACGTAATGCTAAAATATAAAAATTTAATAAAGATTTAAAATTATATTTGTTATAAAAATGTAGGGGAGACCGGGTCGTTATGTATCATTTAAATTTATTTGTTTGATATCATTGTTATTTTTTCATGATTCTAAAAAATAATATAGATAAACTAAATTTGATACTTCAAAATAACTTTTTGCAGTTTTAAATTTATTATTACTGATACTTCAAAAGTAGTTACAAAAATCAAGAAAAATACACTTGTTTTTAAGAAACAATTAAATATTTCTAATTAATGATTATTATATTCTTAAAAAATAAGAAACTATTCCATAACTACCACTAGCCACAGTGCAACAGCATTTTTATTTCAGAGATCGGATCTTATTGGTTTTATGATGCCGAATACGAATCCGTAATCAGAAATTGTTCCATCACCATAAGTTTTCGAGAAAGGGCATAGCAGGATAAGTATGTGTTAGCTGCCCCTGCTTGGATTTTCTTAAAATTTTTAGATACAGTAGGTAGTAATTAGAGTCGTAATTTATCGAAGTACTATTGCGTAAAAATAATTTTTATGTGAGTTATGGGGGTAAGAAGAAAAATAAAAAACACGATTTTCTCGAAAACGCTTGAACCGATGTTTATGAAATTTAAATATATTATTAACTTAAATATGTTAAGCCATAACGGCTTGCGTAAAGGTCTTTTGAAAAAAATTATTAACTTAAAAATAAATTTTATAATTTAAAAGGCCTTAACGAAATCCATAACATATTTAAATTTCATAAAAATCGGTTTAGCCGTTATTGAGAACATAGTATTTTTTATTTTTCTTCTTACCCCCATAACTCCTATAAAAATTATTTTTATGCAATAGTACTTTAAGAAATTACTACTCCAATTAATACCTACTGTATCTAAAAATTTCAAGAAAATCCGAGGGGGGTCAGATAACATATACCTATCCTGCTATGCCCTTTGACCTTGACAATTAAAAAATGCCGTTTTTGAGGTACTGTTTAGTTTATCAGGGTCATGACGTAATATTACAGAAAAAACATCTTCAAATTAAATTTTGTTTAATTAAATTCCATATTTTGACATAACAAAACAAAGATACTTTTCAACATTCATGGCATAAATCGCATTCTTTGAGACAGATAGAAAACATTATTAAACATTTCTTAAATTATTAACAATATACTCTTATGATTTTGAAATCATTTTGCTTATTTTTCGCTTGTTTTCTATTGAATCCTCTATGTATCCCTCTGCCACTTGGTTGAATTTCCATCCCGCGTGACACTTTAATGCACACCCAATATCATATATGCTTTCCTTCCGGTTTGGACAGCTTTTTGAAAAGTGGTGTGCCTTCTATAAGAATGTTTTAAGTCTATGGCGTATTTCAATTATCATACTTTATAGACTTAAAACATTCTTATAGAAGGCACACCACTTTTCAAAAAGTTGTCCAAACCGGAAGGAAGGCATATATGATATTGGGTGTAATTAAATGTGCTCCTTCGTCCACCTGAAGTTTAGCGGAGGTCCTCCTAAAGCAATGAATATAATGCTGGATTAGAAAGATTTAAAAATGTGTCGATTTGAACTGGCGTGCTACCGATTTTATTAATCCCAGTCACTTGTCGGGTGCACTTTGCATTTTGCCAGTTTACATTTTTTTCAGATTCCACATGTTTAGGCCGATTTAATATATAAGATTTTGCTAAATGGTAAAATATTTCTTCAATAACAAAGTTTAGAGTTATATTCGTTTTTGTATCTGGAAGCGTTATATCAAAGAAAGATCCTCTGTCTTGCACATTGTTTAGACTTAAATTGTACAATTCGTCCCTTTGACATGCTCCTTGAATGCCAATTATAAGAATAACCTAAAAAATATAACTGTAAATATTACTATATTTATTATATATATTTATTATAATAATAATAGTTCGTTAATATTTTAGTTGACTTATAATTTATTTTTTATGATTTATTGTATTTTTTTTGTATTTGGCTATTTCTGACCTACTAAAACTATTTTCTGATAGGTGTTAAGTAGTAGATAACACTTCTATAATCAAAATTACAATGCTCTAACTATTTCCGTTCGAAAGATCACGAATTTTAACTATTTTGACAGTTTACAATTAGCCCCAGTCTCCCCTACTTAGTTATAAATATTATTTTGAGACATGCAAGAGTAAAACTGAATTCACTTTCTGACTTGCTTAAAATGGTCCAAATGGACATTAATTTACTTCCTCAACCTCACCTACTATGGATACCTTACCGGCCCTTCCTCCTCTTACAGTAGAGGGTATTCCTATTGTATATAAAGAAACTGTGAAGGATCTTGGCTTGGTATTAAACAGTACGTTGACATGGAAGGAGCAAGTTGATAATATTTCGCGGAAAACATTTATAACTTTACAGCAGCTAAATAGAAGCAAGGATTCTCTTCTATTTTCTACACGTTTGGTATTAATAAAATCACTTGTTCTTCCCATCTTTGACTTCTGTTGTCAGGTTTATGATGATATTACAGATGAACTTAATAGAAAACTAGAAAGAGACTGAAAACTACCAAAGACTGAGCATATAACTCAATATAGAATTCAATCGGGTTTATTCAATGTGGCAACTAGAAGGCAATATTTTATAGGTAATTTGTTGTATTCTATTATTAATAATAAGAATCCTTTATATCTTTTTTATTTTGTAAAATTTATAAATGTTAATCAATCAAGTTACGTTAAACTCCGAGAGAGAAAAAATATTTTAGGTATACCTTTTCATCGTACTTGTATCCTGCAGAGATCATTTATTGTCAGAAGTGCTAGATTATGGAACAAACTTCCAAATTTTATTAGAGAATCGCATAATCATTTTGTTTTCAGGAAATTATTCTTCGATTTTTTGTTTAAAGAAAGTAGTGGGTTTTTTATATTACATATTGGTAACTGTTATTTTCACTAAAATTTACTTTTTAAATCATTGTTTATCATGAGTTAGAATTGTTTTTGGATTTTTTGTATATTATATTAGTAATAAGTTATAAATTTTGTTGTTTAACTTTAAGAATTATGCTATTATTATAGTTGTAAATTCTTGTATGTAGTTCCTTAGTGGGCTTCAAGCCCTAGGAACTTTATCTCATTAAATAAATAAATAAAAATTTCAAATATTATTGAATAAAAGAAAACTAAATATCGTCTGCTACTCTCAGATACGCGATGTGTTTATAGAAATTAAATATTTTTAAAGTTGAAAAGTATTTCAATGTATACATAAATTATTTATATATTTTCATACATCGTAACAAATAATTAGTGTTTGGGTATTTAAATATGAGAAAAAACAAAAAATTCATCAAATATATAATATAAATAATATAAAAATTTCCGAGTAGTAGAGTTTGTCTTTGACATTGGTTGGAAAAATTGAAGGGATAGCTCTTACTTTTAAATTTATCTTTATCTCTTTTCATTTCATGTTCTTTGCCGTTTATTACATTTTTAAAAGTTTTTCAATTTCACTTTCCTTAAAACTTAACTTTCAAATGACATGACTCCTTAGCAATTCTTTGTTATTTTTTGTTGGAACAATTTGCTTCCAATATTCATTACTATTTTCCTAATAAACGACAGCAACAAATATTACAATTTAAACTTATTAGTCAAATATTTAAAAGAACTACTCCATATTGTATAATGTAAAATTAAGTAGTCAACATAACCTAAAAATAAAAAATTAATCGGTATTGTTAAGTGAATAGATAATATTTGAAATTGTTAATAGTGTAAAGTTTAAGATACACAAGCAAATTTCTTTCTAGAATTAAATTCATAAAATTGGAAATAAATACCAATTTAAGTTTGTCTGTAACTTAAGATCTTTTGAATTCGACAAATTTCTTCGTGTATTTTTACCGTAATAAAGAAGGGAAAAAATAAACACTTACAAACTTAAGAAGCACAATTTGTCACGTCGTGCAAAAGGAATATGAACCTAACCATAATAAACTATTGTTACGTTTATTGAGGGACAGATTACCGAGGTTCTACGGATTATGGAGGTACTCGAGTCATTAAACATGTAATTATTTGCACCTTAAGTGTTTCCTCTACTTTTAACCCCACATCTTTAGGGCGTATTTTTAGGCGTTTCCAAAATTCTCGCACCTATAAAACTCATTTTCTCACTTTGAAATATTTTCCACTTTCCCAAATTGTGAGAATAACATCACCTTGCGGAAACGAATCATGTACTCGCGACTAATATTAAGAATGTAATCTGAATTTTAAATTTTGTCTTAAATACATGTTTATCAGTTACTCAGTTTAAATCATTTTATTTACCTGAACGATTATTATTAAATTAACGATCGTGATATGAGATGTTTCTCATACGTATCAACATTTTTGGTTCTTCGATACTGGTGTAGTGTTGATAAGCAATATTGTGAAGATGTTAAGATAAAACAGTGAAGTTCATTCATAAAATTCTTACAGATTGAAAACTCGAGTGTCAATTAACTCCAAGAAGTCAACTCCAGAAAGTCAACTCCAAAAGGTCAAGTCCATTTCATCAGTCAGTAAGAGAGTGCAAAGGTATTAGGCTCAAATTTAAATCACCAATCTTAATTCGGTAAAATAAATCAATATTCATGATGGATGAAGGAAACAATCACGCCGAAAAAGTTGAAATTGAACTCAACGAATTAAAGTGGACGCGTACAAATCTTGAAAGTAAATTCACGCAGAAAGTAGAAAATGCAGTCGACGATCTCGAAGCATTTCAAAATAAAATTGATATCTTAAGTGACAAAACTGAGCCGGGAACAGAATTAACAGAATTTGAAAATATAT